GGGGTCGAGTTCTTGATTGGTGCCCTTTATGGGCCCATTTTTTGGGGGAGGGTTCCCCTACTCAAATAGACAAAACCGAAAAGAGCAAACACAAAAATCGGGACCCAACTGATTCTAACCTCTCCACTAGAGGACCTAGTGGGGGTTCGGCTCGACGGATGTGTTAGTTAAGCCGCAAGTGACTTGGATCCTTGGGCCACGGCTCTCTTTTTTTTGTTGTGGCCGGGTGGTTTTTTTGGTGGGAGCAAGATCTGGTGTTCTGTTGCTACATTGCATCAACAAAACATTGCAACCAGTGGGACCAGCCAAGCCGGAAAGCCGGCTCAAAGCAAGTTTATAGCAGGACCATGGTTTCAAGCAGTGGGTCGCGAAGAAACTGCCATGGCAAGGGAGATTAAGGTGCGGCAGCTGTCTGGGAAGGAAGAAGCATTCGAAGTGTCCATACACACAACCGTCAGTGAGTTCAAGAGGCGGCTGCACGGCTGGCTGCCCTGCGAAGATGAATCAAAGCGCAACATGAGCTCAGTGGAGGTGGTTGTTGCAGACAGGCCCCTGTTGAACAACGCAGAGCTGCTGTCCAAGGCAATTCCAGGTGCAGAAGTTTTAGCTTTCCTGAGCATCAAGCCGATGAAGTGCTCAAGCTTGCAAGCCTCCGGCGTGGGGCCTGGAGATTTGCGTGTGGTGGAGATTCCAGGAAGCTTGACTAAGATCGAGCGTGACGCCTTCCAATTTTGTAGCTCATTGGCGAGCGTGACCATTCCCAACTCTGTGACTGAGATTGGAATTGGTGCCTTCAAAGGCTGCAGCTCGATGGCAAGCGTGACCATCCCCGACTCTGTGACTGAGATTGGACGATGTGCCTTTCAAGGTTGCAGCTCATTGGCAGGCATGACGATCCCTGATTCCGTGACTGTAATTCGGGAGTATGCCTTTCTATTTTGCAGCTCATTGGCAAGCGTGACCATTCCCAACTCCGTGACTCAGATCGGGTTTAGGGTCTTCCATGGTTGCAGCTCATTGGCAAGCGTGACCATTCCCAACTCTGTGACTGACATTGGAGAAGGTACCTTTGAAGGTTGCAGCTCATTGGCGAGCATGACCATTCCCAACTCCGTGACTGAGATTGAAATTTGGGCCTTCAAAGGCTGCAGCTCGATGGCAAGCGTGACCATCCCCGACTCTGTGACTGAGATTGGAGAATGTGCCTTTGAAGGTTGCAGCTCAATGGCAAGCGTGACCCTTCCCAACTCTGTGACTGAGATTGGGAAACGTGTCTTTCAACATTGTAGCTCATTGGCGAGCGTGACCATTCCCAACTCCGTGACTAAGATTGGAATTGGTGCCTTCAAAGGCTGCAGCTCGATGGCAAGCGTGACCATCCCCGACTCTGTGACTGAGATTGGAGAATGTGCCTTTCAATTTTGCAGCTCATTGGCAGATGTGACCATCCCCGACTCCGTCACTGTGATTCGGGAGTTTGCCTTCCAAGGTTGCAGCTCATTGGCAAGCGTGACCATCCCCGACTCTGTTGAGATAGCAGCTGATGTCCGAAGGCAGCTGCACGGCTGGCTGCACGAGAAGAAGGCTTCTTCGGGAGCCCCACTGGGCAAAGTTCGCAGAACCACTTAGTAGATACTTCCACTGGAAAACCACCAATATAGACAGGGTTCTTGCAGTTTGGCACACATCCATTTCCACGTTTGTAGAACCGAAGCTATGCCTCGCAGCAGTATCCTGCAGAACCCGACGCAGAACGTGTTTGCCGAGAACACAGCAAGCTGGCCAAATGCTGTTTCACAGTTTCACCAGAGTGGCGCTCATGAGAGCCAGTGGTCAAAACACCTTGCAGCAGCTTTTTTGGGGGAGATCGGGGACGGTCAGGGATAGGCAGCTTCGGACATGATAGGGACTGTCGTCCGAGCTGGAGCACGCCTTTGTTTTCTGAGTAAAGAAGGAACAGCATGGACGTTAGCAACGGTCAATCTTGACCTTCATTGCTGTAGCAAGGGGCCACGCTCACAAATTTCTTCAAACGTAAAGCAATTAACAAAGCACACGTCAAGTAAGAGCATGCAGAAATTGTAGGGGTGCCTTTCCAAGTCTTTGCAGGCATCCTTCTTTCTAAAACACCATTCCAACAACCCTTGGGAAACAGCAATCGATTTTTGAAAAGAACAATAATTGAACAGAATGGACAAGGAACCAAGCCCCAGACAGAGAAGCGTTGCTGTTTCTTCCTGCCATAGAAGAGGGGCAGGACGATGCGTTTGCACTTGAACATCAAGCCAAACAGAGCCCTTCATTTGCCAAATGTCACCGCTATTTCTTTTCTTGGGGACTGCACTTGCGCTAGATGCGACGTATGGCTCAAAGCTGCCATGTCAAGCCCTAGCTGAAACATGCAACCAGCCAGGCTGGAAAGCAGGCTCAAAGCAAGTCTACCAGAACATCGTTTCAAGCACTTGGTCGCCCAGAAACTGCTATGGCAAGGGAGATTCAGGTGCGGCAGCTGTTAAGGAAGAACCATTCGAAGTGTCCACACAAGCAACCATCAGTGAGTTCAAGAGGCAGCACGGCTGGCTGCCCGATGTAGCTTTCCTGAGCATCAAGCCGATGAAGTGCTCAAGCTTGCAAGCCTCCGGCGTGGTGCCTGGAGATTTGCGTGTGGTGGAGATTCCAGGAAGCTTGACTAAGATCGAGCGTGACGCCTTCCAATTTTGCAGCTCATTGGCAAGCGTGACCCTTCCCCACTCTGTGACTGACATTGGAGACTGTGCCTTCCAATGTTGCAGCTCATTGGCAAGCGTGACCATCCCCGACTCTGTTGAGATAGCAGCTGATGTCCGAAGGTGGCTGCTTGGCCACGAGAAGAAGGCTTCTTCGGGAGCCCCACTGGGCAAAGTTCGCAGAACCACTTAGTAGATACTTCCACTGGAAAACCACCAATATAGACAGGGTTCTTGCAGTTTGGCACACATCCATTTCCACGTTTGTAGAACCGAAGCTATGCCTCGCAGCAGTATCCTGCAGAACCCCCGCAGAACGTGAACACAGCAAGCTGGCCAATTGCTGTTTCACAGTTTCACCAGAGTGGCGCTCATGAGAGCCAGTGGTCAAAACACCTTGCAGCAGCTTTTTTGGGGGAGATCGGGGACGGTCAGGGATAGGCAGCTTCGGACATGATAGGGACTGTCGTCCGAGCTGGAGCACGCCTTTGTTTTCTGAGTAAAGAAGGAACAGCATGGACGTTAGCAACGGTCAATCTTGACCTTCATTGCTGTAGCAAGGGGCCACGCTCACATATTTCTTCAAACGTAAAGCAATTAACAAAGCACACGTCAAGTAAGAGCATGCAGAAATTGTAGGGGTGCCTTTCCAATTCTTTGCAGGCATCCTTCTTTCTAAAACACCATTCCAACAACCCTTGGGAAACAGCGATCGATTTTTGAAAAGAACAATAATTGAAAAGAATGGACAAGGAACCAAGCCCCAGAGAAGCGTTGCTGTTTCTTCCTGCCATAGACGAGGGGCAGGACGATGCGTTTGCACTTGAACATCAAGCCAAACAGAGCCCTTCATTTGCCAAATGTCACCGCTATTTCTTTTCTTGGGGACTGCACTTGCGCTAGATGCGACGTATGGCTCAAAGCTGCCATGTCAAGCCCTAGCTGAAACATGCAACCAGCCAGGCTGGAAAGCAGGCTCAAAGCAAGTCTACCAGAACATCGTTTCAAGCACTTGGTCGCCCAGAAACTGCTATGGCAAGGGAGATTCAGGTGCGGCAGCTGTTAAGGAAGAACCATTCGAAGTGTCCACACAAGCAACCATCAGTGAGTTCAAGAGGCAGCACGGCTGGCTGCCCGATGTAATGTAGCTTTCCTGAGCATCAAGCCGATGAAGTGCTCAAGCTTGCAAGCCTCCGGCGTGGTGCCTGGAGATTTGCGTGTGGTGGAGATTCCAGGAAGCTTGACTAAGATCGAGCGTGACGCCTTCCAATTTTGCAGCTCATTGGCAAGCGTGACCCTTCCCCACTCTGTGACTGACATTGGAGAATGTGCCTTCCAATGTTGCAGCTCATTGGCAGATGTGACTGTCCCTGACTCACTCACTCGGATTGGAGGAGGCAGCTCATTGGCAGATGTGACTGTCCCTGACTCAGTCACTCGGATTGGAGGAGGTGCCTTTGAAGGTTGCAGCTGATTGGCAAATGTGACCATCCCCGACTCCGTGATTCAGATTGGGCCCAGAGCCTTCCAAGGTTGCAGCTCATTGGCAAGCGTGACCCTTTCCAACTCCGTGACTTAGATCGGGTTTAGGGTCTTCCAAGGTTGCAGTTCATTGGCAAGCGTGACCATTCCCGACTCCGTGACTCAGATTGACCCTTCCGAACTCTCTGACTGAGATATTGGGGAACGTGCCTTCCAAGGTTGCAGCTCATTGGCAAGCGTGGCCATCCCCGACTCCGTCACCGTGATTCGGGAATTTGCCTTGCAGGGCTGCTGCTTATTGGCAAGCGTGACCATTCCCCCACTCTGTGACGATTCAAAACATGTGCAGGGGGTTGCAGCTCATTGGAAAACGGCGCACCCAGAAGACCTCCACCCAAAGAACCTCCATGACCCTTTGAAAATGGTTGGTCATTACCCAAGAGTAAAGGGGTAAAGGGGACTCATTTTTACTTCGGGTTTTTGGGGAGACTCCAGGCACGCACACAGAAAACCTCAAAGAACGGCCCGTGTTTTTTTCCGTTGGCGCGAGTGAGGGTTTTTAGGGAGACTCCAGGTAGAGTCTCCATGATCCTTAGTAAACGGGGAGTCATAATTCCCCTTGATTTTGGGGTACCAACCATTTTGTAAGGGAAGGGAGACTTGCTCCCTGAATCTCCGCACTTCATCTAGGTCCCCCAGCTAGGTGCCCTTTCTCACCCCCTTTTTGTGGGAGGGTTCCCCAGTAGAGACTCCAGGCGCCGAAAACGCCCGGCCCGGCTTTCCGAAGCGCAGGGCGTGGAGCGAATGGCGGAGGCCTGGTGCTTCTTCGAGGTCCGGGGAGCCAGCGGGGTCCGTTTGGAGGGCGGCGAAGTGGATCCCAGGAGGGCGGGGTAGGACTAGAGGCATTGCTGGGGGCAGGGTTCCGTTTTTTTTTTTTTTTTTTTCCGACTGCCCCAAGCTAGACTCAAACTTAGGGGTGTCCCTTTTGGGGGAATCAACCACCCCTGGGTTTAAGTCGACTTTGGGGTAGTCAAAAAAGGGAACCCTGTCTGGGGGTAACTTCCAGGCCCTTTCTTTCCAGGGATCCGAATCTTTCTAGGAAACCACCAAACACCCTGTTTGGAAATGGATCGATCCGGCTTTTGAAAAGAAGGATGGCTGAAAGGAATGGACAATGAATCAACCCCTATTGCTAGGATCGGCCTCATTTTTTTCTTGCAGGTTAGGACGGGAATCTTTGGGTTCGGACCGGACTCTCTGTTTCTTTCTTTTGGGTCTTTGGATCTAGGTGAAAGGCGCTGCAGACGCTTATTTTTGGGTGGGGGGTCCCAAAAGAGGGCAGGAATTGAGATGCAAGATGTGGGCAACCGGGTGAAAGCAGAAGACAGGATTGCCGATTTTTGTTTGGTCACAGTCGTCCCCTTGACTTACCAGAATTGCGACATCTACTTTTACCCGGGCTGCGGGGATTCATGCGCAACCGCTTTTGAGGTCCCCATCTTGACGACAAGACTTCCTAAACCAGCCGAGGAGGTCAAAGGGCAACTTGTTATACAACCCAAAACCGGCCTCCCAACAAATCCGCCATTGAACCGCTGTGGCTGGTTTCAAGCCTCACATGTTTTCAGCCAAGAGGGGGGTTGTTTCTTGTGGGGCGACTGTTTTTTTGGGGGAACTTCATGGAGCCGTGTCGACCCGGCTCACCGACTTTGGGTGGGCGCCCCCAAAAACGCAAGGCGAAGATCCAGCTTCCAGGCTGCGGCCGTGCGATGCAGCAGCGTACCTCCAGCTTTCGGAACGGAACATCGAGTCGAAGAGATCCCGGCGCGGGCGACGGAAGCGGAGAGGCAAGAGGCAAGCTGCAGAAACCTGGAGGTCTCAAAAAGGTTCCAGAACCAGCACGGCCTTCTGTGGAAAGCTGGGGTTTTGCGGAGAGTCGATTCTTGCGGATCTTGGACTTCGCTCGCTTTTTTGCCCAGAATTTCAGGGTTGCGGTTGATCACTCGGGGTTTATCCACCATTTTTGGGGGCAAAGGTCGTTGGGATCAGTTTATCCAACTACTGTGGTACTTGTGGGAATCTCCCCCCATGGGGGCAAAGGTCTTGAAGGCCTTCCTTTTTTGGTTGTACAATCGCAGTGGCGTGGCTTTTCCATTTCAGACTTTCTTGAGGCCGGATGCGAAAGTGGAAATCATCGGATCCCCAGAAATTCCAAGTAGATCGCCTCCATGGATCGCCTCCGTTAGATTGATTCCCCAAAGAGGAAGTTGGCCAAACGGGAGTTGGTCATCAACCGGCTTTCCCGGAAGGTCCAAGTGCCATATTTGTTTTTGCGGATTTGAGGAATCTGCAAATGATAAATCCCCTTGAACCAAACCCAAGACCTCATTTATGGGGTACTTGGACCCTCTGGGAAACAGATGTCCATCCCAACGAAGGTCATCCGACCGCAAGGAATGGCAACCAAGCCTTGAGTAGGGGTCTTGGTTGTAAGGGGCGCATGGCTAGCGTAAAAAAAATCAAACGGTTCGCCTGCTGCATACCCATTTTCACATTGCGTGAGGCCACCCACCACGCAAGTTTTCGGAGAGCCTACAACATCGGAAGTTCATCTTCTTGAAGCAAACAAACGCGTATGGCCAAAACAAAAAGGAACCATGCTCTGCCGGCTTCAATTTGGGTAAAGTGAGTAAACGGACTCTTGCAAACGAGTTTTAAGACGCTATGCACATAAGTGATGCAAGCCCAGGAATCTAGTAGAAGCTTCGGGTCTGACCTTTAGTTTGCAATCATCTAAGTCACCTAGGAAGCAATTGGGCTCAAAAATGCCTCACCCCTTTTCTAAGTATATGGGTGTCCTTCTGGTTTCCCTTTAAACACATACCAAACGGGTACCGGGCCTCAAGAAAACGACACCCCTATACTTCCCCAGAATTAGCTCCCCTTTCCGTTTTTTTTTTTGGGGCGGGTCCCGTTGTTTTCCACTAGCCCCTAGTATATGGGTTCTCTTTCCTAGGAAGCTGGACAGGTGCTGGTGGGCGTTTGCGACGGCGACTCTTGCGACGGCCACCAGTGTGCCTGCCACCCGCCGTCCTTGGCATGTTTTGGGCCACCTGCGCTTTCGCTCGCGCCGAGGAGGGTGGGCGGGCGGGCGGGCGGGTGGGCGGGTGGGGTGGGTGGGTGGGTGGTTTTGCAGGTTTGAGAAGAAACCTCACCTCCCGACTTCCTGGACTTCATACTTTTTGGGAAAACCATCCATTTTAGTGGCAGTAACCCTTCTTGCAGGAGCCTGGTTGCCTGGATTCCGTAGACATGTTGTTCATGGCAAATCATGCTCCCAACAAAACCCAGTTCCCCCAGTAGTGCCCTTTTACCCTTTTTTTGGGGAGGGTTCCCCTAATAAAATAACTTTTGTTGGTACCAACTTATTCTAACCTCAAACTACTGGAGGACCTAGAAACTCCTACTCGACTTCGTGTGCCCCTTTGTTTCGGGCATCACCTGTTAGAGCCCCTCGCCATTAGAATCCGTAGGATCGGTGTCGCTTGATCCATGTCTGACAGGTTCCTTTCGCGAGTTTAGGGAGTCAGCCTGTGGTGCTTTTTTTCCCTTTCTTTCTCAAGGTCAACTTTTGTGGCAAACAAATGCCAAACACGGCTCAGTCTCATGCGTTCATATGGCTGCTTCGACAAAAAAGGGTTTCCCTGTTTCCAGCAATCGTGGAAGCGGAAAGCTGCTGAGAGAAGCTTCCATGACGGGTTGAAAAACCGTGGTTTCTTTTTCTTTTGGCCCACTTTGCACCTGAGCCAAGGGGGTCCCTGGATTCAAGGTTTGCACCAATATGCGCGGTTCAATCAAACTGGGCGTGGTTCCTTTTTGAGGCTCGGTACCCGTCTTTTTGGGGTGGCGTTAAAAGGAACCAACAGGACCATAGGTGTCCTTGTTGGTTGCTTTGGTCGAAAAATAGATGGCCCTGGTTTACCTGGTGGTTTAATCATTTACCAGGGCCATCTATTTCCCCTAAAAGGACACCTATGGAAAGGACCATCCGCCATTTTGCGGATCTAAAAACACACGCACCGTTATTTTGGGCGCCCCGAAAGATGGCAAGGGTTTCAGTCTGGCTTCCCTTTACAGGGTTCCTTAAAAGATACATTTGAAACATGGCTTGTTCAACACCAAAAAAAGTTGGACACCACCACTTACAAGTTGGAATGTTCAGGTGTCTGATGTAAGGATCCCTGCTTTGCCCCAATGAAAAGGGGGGGCTTTTCCGGGGGGCGCTTTTCCGATTCCATTTCGAGGATCTCCCGCAAACACCAACCATGCGAGTGGGTCTGTGGTTGTTTTTGGGGCTGGTTCAAAGGGAAACCAACAGGAAACCCAAAATGTTGGGTCCGAATCTCTATTTTTGGCGCATGGCTGTTTTTATCACGAGATTTTCCGTTGTTAGCTTTCGGACCGCTGATCCCTGTAGACGCCGAAAAAGTAGTCGACGCTAGAAAAGTCTCTTGAACGGAGAGCCAAGCATCGCGTTGCGCGCCGCCTGTTCTTGTTCTTCGTTTTATTTTTCTTTCTCGGTTTCTTCACTTGTTCTCCTTCTTTTCCATTTGCTTAAGAACTACGTTCGCTAACCACCTGTTGGTTTTAATCGGAAAACTATCACTGGAGATATGTTCTCTTTTCCCAGGGGACGTGACCCAGCAAATTGGAGGCCTTTCCTTCTTAAGTCTTCTACCAACAAGCACCAGCCATTGATGTTTGCTGGGCATCTTCTCTTGAGCTTGTCAGCTCCAGTTGTGGTCAGAAGCCATGGTCGAAACCATGGGTTTGTTGCGGTGCTTGCAGGGGAACGTGCGAAATGGATTTCGCAACCATCCACAGTATGTGTATTTTTTTTCGGGTAGAATGAATATGAAGCAGACGCTGCAACTATTAGTTTTGTGTGTACCCCAGATGTCGGTCAAGTTGAGCCTGGCAAGTCGGGTCTATCTGGGTGCTAAATAGCCTATTTTGTATGCCAAAAGGACGCCAACAGATGATGGGTAATTTTTTAACTTGTCTAGACATATTTGGGTGTGTCCTTTTTTGAGGGGTACCCTTTTTTGGGTTGCATTTTGAAGCTTCCCAGACACCAAATCCGATCTGTGGCGTGCCCCATGAGCCAAGTTCAAGAATCTAGGAACCGCATTGAGCAATCCATTCTAGCGATTCCATTTGACCTATCTACCCACTCAGCCAGTAATCCCGAGGCAGATGAACCACCACTTCCAGTAAGAACATGACCTATCTACCCGCTTGGCCATTTAGCCGTTTGGCTCGAGGCAGATAAACAATCACTTTCAGTAAAACGATGACCTAGCCATTTAGTCTGCAGATGGACGACCACTTTCCTTACACCCATTTTGAGGCTTCCCCTTTTCTTACTTCGAGACAAACTCATACACCGTATCCATATGTCGAGACAAAGCCATTCAAAAACAGACCTTTGGATGGACAAATTCCTGCAGTCTGGATGAATGAAGCCCCAAAAATATTGGTACAAATCGCCTACCACGTGGTGCAGGCTTATGTCCATCCACAGTAATACCGAGTTTCTTTTGTGAAGTCACACTACCCTTGCGTAGGCTTAAACGTGGTTGATTTCCCCAACAGGGACACCTTTTCCTGGGTTTACGTTTCCTAGGTCCCCCAGTAGTGCCCTTTTACCCTTTTTGGGGGGAGGGTTCTCCTACTAAAATAGACAGAACAAAAGTTGGTACCAACTTATTCTAACCTCAAACTGGAGGACCTAGAAACTACTCGACTTTGTGTGCCCCTTTGGGCATCACCCCTTTTTGGAGCCCCTGGGTTTACGTTCCTCGGAGAAGTCGCCGCCAACGCCGCCCACTCCGCCGCTTCGGCGCCGCGGATCCGAGAACCGATGGCCAGGCGGGCGGAGAAGCGGGGCGGAGGCTCCGCGCGGCAGCCGGTGGTGGGGAAGCCCGCGGACGAGGAGGCGACGAGAACGCGAGAACTCGGTTTCGAGATTCTTGGGGAGAAGGTGGGTTTGTCATTTTTTGGGAGTTGGTACCGCTTCTTTTTCTCGCAAAATTTTAAAGGACAAAACCAAAGGAACCCACTTTCTTGGTCTTTTCTTTTTCTTGGGGGGGGTGGCAGGGTCCGCTGGAAAGAACACACCCAAGCGTGTGTATGGTTTTGGGTATTGGAAGAAAACTTTGTAAGACGCAACATGCGGTTAGGGGAAATTGGATCTGGTTTTGTTTTGTTTTAAGGCACCTTTTGGGGTTTGTTTGACAGGGACGCCAACCACAACATGTTTCGTATGTCACCGTTTGTTTGCAACCAGTTAGATTTGGGGAAAAATGAGCTTGCCAAACTTGCAGGAGCCGCCTCCCTCCGGAGCTATTGCCATTTGGTTGTGAACCTTTACCGATCCCTCTTTTGGGGAAAAATATTTTGTATAAGAGGGGTTGTTGGGAATAAGTTTTGTTGTGGGAAGGAGGGGTTGGGAAACCCCACTGTGATACCAGGCAACCGTTGCCCCCTTTGGACAATTTGTCATTGGGAAGGCCGATTTCCGATTGGCATCGCACTTTTCCGCATCTTTGAAAGCTTCACTGTTCTTGGCATGTTCTTTAGTTTTTTGGTTCTGTTCATTTTTACTGGGGGGTCTGCAAACAACAGTCAGTTTTTCGCTACCATACCAAGAGATCTTTGGGTTGATTGGTTTCCAAACGTCTCCCTGGGCCCAGCAGGGCGGGAACCTTGCCACTTTTCGGGTGTCGATCTCTGGTTGGGCAGATCATTTTGCAAACACCACCTTTTTGGTAAGCTTTGGTATGAACCTTTGCTATGACCATGAACCTTTGGTATGAACCTTTGGCATGTTCACACCTCGAGTTCCTGGACTTTCGTCACTTCTTCGGCTTGGACAATTTTATTTTAGAGGCAAGCAACAAGTTTCGACTTCCTGGCCAATCCACTCAGAATGTGTGTGTGTGTGTGTGTGTGTTGTTTTTGGGAGCAATCCTTTTTATTGGTTTTTGGAAGGGAACCCAAAGGCCCCCCTCCCCCCCGCACCAATTTTGGGCTCCGATTCCAAACAGCAAGACGCATACCCAGAGGGTCCGAGTACCTTATATTTGAGGTCTTGGGTTTGGTTCAAGGGGATTTATCATTTGCAGATTCCTCAAATCTGCAAATATAAGGTACTTGGACCCTCTGGGATATAGTGTTGGTCTGCACCCGTATGGATGGGTATGGGTTAAAATTAAACCACCAGGGGACCGCAGGTTTAGTCTTTTGTTCCATTTCTCAGGCCAAGCCATTTTGGGGTTACCCTATTTTTGATTTGCCAGCTATATGGTTTTGGTCTGCACCCGTATGAAGTATGTATTCGAGTCTCGAAATCCCTCCTCCTTGGCCCCCGATCTCAGCCCGGATCGAGGCGGTGGAGGAGGATGTGCGGCTGGTGGCTTTGTCGCGGGTGGCTTCGTCGCAGGTGAACGCGCAGTGGCTCCAGGAGCCTTCGGGAGTCGGGAGTCTGACAACTGAGCGGTGGATGAGAGATGCAGGGGTTGTGAGGAATGGAATGGAAGCCCAAGAAGAACCGAATCCCAACTGGTGGTTTCCTTTAAGGGGACCCTTGGGTTAGGAGAGAGGTTCAAACCGCTTTAGGGCCCCCGAGCCTTTGAGGGAAACCCGGGCCATTTTTTGCTGGGAATCGCCAAAGGTGGCTTTCGGTGGCTTTCTGGCGAGGTTCAAACCGCTTCGGGAGTCGGGAGTCTGACAACCGATCGGTGGATGAGAGATGCAGGGGGCCCTGAGGAATGGAATGATCCAACTTATGGTTTCCTTTAAGGGGACCCTTGGGTTCATTCTTGGGTTCTTTCCCGCATTCCCTTCTGAGCACCAGAAAGAAAAGGGGGGGGTTGTCATACTGAGGATGGTTGAAATCGAAATCCAGAAATCGCACCACCGTTCAGACATGCTAGGATGAGAATTTCCGTGTAAACACCGACAAACAATGGTTTCAACCATGGTTTCAAAGTGGTGGGACATGGATTTAGCGCAACCATCCACAGCAAGATGTATATATATATATACATAATATATATATATATGTATATATACACACCCTTCTGTTCTGGAATCCCATCCGTAGGGACGTTCTGGGGGGGGTTCCAAGGGGGTCCATATGGTGGACACTGAACGGGTCGATTTTGCAAGCTCCTTCTTTTAGGGGATTGGTTGTTTTTAGGGTTCCAGGCTGTAAAATAGGCTCGTGTCCATTTCATGGGGGCATGGGTGCCGGGGTCCCGGAAAAAGCCTGCGACGAGGCTTTGGCCTCTTAAAGCGGGCTCGCCAGCTTGGTGGTATCGATACCAAGCCCCGTTTTGGAGGGTTTCCGGACAATCTCCAAAAATGGGCCAAAGGTGGCGTTTTGTTTTTTGAATACAATCCCTGTTTTTTGCAGGGATCTCCTGTGGCATTCTCAAAAAAGGTTCAAGTTCGAGTTTGAGGGGAGGGGAAGTTGGGCTGAAGCATGCTGTTGGGGGGCGTGATTTTGTTTTTTCATGTTGTGGACTTTGGGATTTTGGAGATCTGGGGAATTTGTGGAAATTGGGGAATCTTGGAGTTTGGGAGATTTGGAATTGAGGCAATTTTGGCATTTGGAAAGTTGGGGAGGGAAATTCGGAGTTTGCAAAGTTGTTGTTTTTCTTCTTCTTTTTCCTCCGCGGTTTTGGGGGTTGTGCCGGGACGGATACCAGGATACTAACTCATCTCCAAGCCGGCTCCCCCCCCCCGCGCCACCCCTGATTTGCTCCAATGTAAGTCCTTGAGGTTGGTCAGTGGGTCTGGTTTCCCTGGGCTCTCCATTCAGTTTGGTGCAGACAAACAACACGCGGGGGTCCGGTTACCTGGCGGTGTTCCATCTACACATGGTTGTTGTTGGGAAACATTTGAACTGTTTTTGATCTTATTGCGGTTTAGTGCTTGAAATCCAACCACTGAACTGCTTAACAAAAAAAATAATAAGCATTTTTTTGCCCAAACCCAAGGTCAACCATCTACAGGGCCATTGGAACTCCAAAGGGCCATGGTCCTTCCCGTAGCCATGGGAAAAGTTGCCTCTGGAACTGAGAGATGTTGAATCCCTCCGAAAACCTGGGAACCTCCAAGCTTGGATCTGCATAGCGACGAAGGTCTCGAGCGAAAACGGCTTTTTGCAGCGATAGAAGCTTGAGTAAACCTGGAGTCCCTGGTTCGATGCACAAATCGACACGTTGTAGCGTGTTTTCCTCCGCAATTGCTTTCGAGCGTATTCTTGGCTTCGAGCAGAAATCAAGTTCGGTAGTTTCATGTTCTTTCACAGATGCGAGTTTGGGAAGGCTCATCAACGAAACGAGCGCACAAAAAGCGCAACACGAGCGCACATTGGCCCAGACAAGTGCAAACAAGTCCAAACGAGCGAAAATCCAACACATGGCACAGGGAATGGGTTCCGACGGGCGCATGATTGCCAACAACTCGAGCGATTTTTGTTGAATCGTACCCTTATTTTAAGCAGGTTGTCACTGTCGCGAGCAGAAATATGTCGTGGCAAAAGCTCATGTATCAGGTTACCCTTGATTGTTGCTTTGGTTTGAACCCCTTTTTCTTGTAGAGGGTAGATGGTTTCGGAAACCCCTCCCTGACCGCCAACTCCAAGGGGAAGGAAGTGGAATGTAACGGCTGCAGGAACACTCCGAGGGTTTCGGGGCCCCGGATGGACGACCTGCGCGAATGGGTAGGTGGTTTCTCCGCTGATTTGAGTAGGTTTTCTTTCTTCGCAGCTGCGAAGGTGGACGGTTTTCCGATTCCTCCGCGGCATTTCGCAACCCCTGCGAATGGAGCTTATTCAATCCGAAGCGTCTCCAAAGGAGTCATCCGCACGGAAAACAGGTCGCACAAAAAGCTTGGAATGGGCACATCCGTGTTTTGGTCTGGCCCTGAGTTTTCATCGGGAACCACCTGAAAAGTGATTGGTGGACATGAACCAGCGAATTTCGTTGTCCACCAGCTCGGGCCCCTCATCAAAATTCACACCCGATCCGGAAGAAGCGGACCATGGGACAGGGCTCCTTAAAAGATGGCCATTTTGCGTAACCAGTTGAATCATGTTGCTTTTTGCACACCAAAATAAAGTTGGACACCACCATTTGCAAGTTGCAATGTTCAGGTGTATAATGCACCTGCCCCACCTCCCCCGACTCCCCCACCTCCCCCGACTCCCCCACCTCCCCCGACTCCCCTACCTCCTTCACCTCCCCCACACCCCTCCCCCTTATGGTCGGGGGGATTCCCAGTTTCCCTGTGGGAGAACCATTCTGTTCAGGAGCACGGGGACTTTGTGCGAGCTGCCATGGCGCCGCACATCGACTTGCTGCGCCAGGCGCGAGCGGTAGCAGGGAAAGGGGAGCACGGGGGGCTTAGGACGACGCCTTTGGGCTTTTGTCTGGATCAGGGAATTGTTTGGGTCTCACGTTGAAAAGGCCAAGGTGATGTTTCAATCCATAGGTGTCTGTTTGATCGGTTAGTTTGGTTAAACGTAGATGGCCCTGGTTCAGATGGGCTTTGTTCCAGTTACCAGGGCCATCTATTTTTCCAAAGGCCATTTTGTAGGTCCACGAAACATGTTGGACACTGCCCCATTTCCCATTCCCGTTATGAAGGATCAACCTATTAAGGGATGCTCACCTATGTAAACCACCCTTTAGTTATGGACTCCCTGACAAAGGGGGTCCCTAAGGCTCCCAAACGAAGCCCAAGGACATAGGTGTCCGTTTGATCGGCGAGTTTGGTTTAAAACAGATGGCACTGGTTTACAAGGAGCCATTCCAGAAGGCCACCTATGAAAACCACTCTTTGGTCATGCAATCTGGGGGGGGGGGGGGTGGGGGGCCTAAGGATCCTGAAACGAAATGTTGGATCACCTGGGTTTCACCGAGCGGCACGTAGCCTTGCAACGCCTTGCAACTCAGAGTGACCAGTTGAACACAGCTGAGGGGACATCAGTTACCGCCATTCTGCAAGCTATCCCAGCTCGAAAGCCCACCCCCTCACGAGAAAAGCTCAGTTGTTCATTGGCTCCAATTCTTTTCCCAACTTTTTTTTTTGGTGGCTGCCCCACGAAAATGGTCGAAGCCCCAAAAAAGGGTTCCAATCCATTTTTTTTCCAGGGTCACTGAACAACTGAGAAAGTGTGGGGAGCTTGACTCGATGCGGAAAAATACACCAGGCTTCGGCTCGGAGTTGGCACGTGCGTCAGTTTTGGTGAGCTTTGGTCAAGGCCTGGACAAGGGACAGACCACCATTCCCCTCCTCCCTCGAGCGAAGAGCATCTAGGGTTATTCGTATGCTAGGTCCCCCAGTAGTGCACTTTTCCCAACTTTTTTTGGGGGGAGGGTGCCCTACTGAAATAGACTACAGAAAAAAAGGGCACCCTTGTTCTAACCTCTCTACTGGAGGACCTAGTATAGGAACGCCTACAAGAGAAACGTGGGATCTTCACACGCCCCTGACGGCGCCACGGTCGGGTCCGTGCAGAACCAGCCACTTCGCAGCTGCTCGACTTCTTTCAAAGCTTCCTGGCACAGGGCTCCCGATATTTCCCGTTGCGAGGCGGTTTTAGACCTCGCCTCTTGGGCCAAAACTTCAAATGACCTGCCCTTTGGTCAGGGCTCCTTAAAAGATAATTTGTGCCCATTTAAAAACATGGCATTTTCCACAAACAAATAGTTGGACACCACCATTTACAAGTTGCAATGTTCAGGTGTATAATGTATGGTGGAGTGATGTTAGGGGCAGTATCGGGAGCCCTGTGGCAAGCCGCTTAGACATCGCGGAGAACAAGATCAGCGGATGAAGCATCAGCGGATGAAGCTGGCGTGGAGAGGCGCGAGGCAGAGAAACAAGCCTTGCGCTGAGGTTAACTGGGCCACTGAAAGGAGTCTTGTGTCGACTCTCGACTCTGAATCCCAGGTTTTCCGGGAGGGTTGTGCCCCACGTCAGAGAGAGTTCGGACTACTTTCGGGGGAGTTGCCCCTCCAAACTACGAGATGTATTTTTTCCGAGTTGGCATGAAGTGTTTCTAGCCTACTCCCTATCATGGGCTGGGCTAGATTACGGATGTACGAGCTCAACTAAGAGGAGGAAGGTCCTTTGCTTGGCGCTTTGGCCTAATGTTGACCCCGGATTTAACCCGTCCTATTAATAGGGGAGTTTTCCCGCCAATAGGGGTGCTCTCCCACTAAAAGGGGGCACCCCCCCTATGAATCAACCCGGGGTTTATATTAATCTGTCAACATGATGCCGACCATGGCATACACCAGAGCCGGAGATCCGCAAATGACTTCGAATGTGAGTCCACCGAATTCGGCGCTCGGTGACCGAGCGCTTGATTCTTACCCGATGCATCGACGCTTGCCTGCAGGCCTTGGACAGCCTGGGCTCCAGGCCGAGTCGGCAGGGCTTCGTGTTCAACGAAGAAATTTCGCACCGGGAAAGTGAAGGTTAAGGGTTCCACTCCCAGCCAGAAAAAATCGAAAAGAATCGGAGATCCCATCGGGATACGACAGTCATGTGGCCTATGATGAAGGAGATGATACTAATTATCCTTGAACGCTGACTTTTTGGCAGAACTTTTCGTCTCTTGACCTTCCGGACGTTTCCTTTTATCCCAACCAGGCCGTCGCTTTCGCTTGCCATGTTTGGGCGGGAAGAGTGGTTCTCCTTCCGATGGATTTTTAGCCTTGCAAGATTCGACATGTTTTTGGATGGGAGCTGGGAGAGTGGGCGACTGACTTTCCGTTTATACCGTGAGAGCCAACAACCCTTTCTCCATATTCCACGAGGGCTTCACATGGAGCCTACAGAAAGAGGCTAGGTCCCCCAGTAGGACCCTTTTACCGTTTCTTTTTTGGGGGTGGGTTCCCCTGCTAAAATGGACTACAGAAAAAAAATGGTACCAACTTATTCTAACCTCTCTACTGGAGGACCTAGGAGGGGTTTGGGGGCAGTTTTTGGGGTTCTCATGGCAGCTTCTGACCAGCAACCCGGTGACTTGGCGGGGGCAGTGCGGGGCCAAGTTCGGCCCTGATTTCCCGTGGCGTCTGGCAAAAAGTGTCCCACATGTCACCGAAACGGTGACGTTCGTTTTCGCAGGGTCATTGGAATCCGTTAGTGCATTTTTTTTTTAATTTTTTTTTGCACTTTTTCAGGTTTTCCCAGTTTGAGGGTAATGCAATCCTTGAGAAATGTACACATGGTCGTTCACACACTCCATGCATATAGGCATCCTTAGTTTGTTTGGTTTGTATCATTGTGTTTGTTGGTTTGTTTGAGTTTGTTCATTTATTCTGTTTGTTGTTGGCTGGTTTGAATTGGTTTCTTCGGGTTGGTCGGGTTTTGCTTGCTTGTTTGTTTGTGGACGGAGGCTCGCGCTGAATGGCGCGCCGCAGTTCCAGGTTCAATTCCAGTGGCCTCACCTTGGACGACGCGGTGGGCGGCCGCACGCAGGCGGTATTCGGGATTCGGCCGAGCGGGCGGGGGCGTGCGACCGGCGAGCGTCGAGCCGAGCGTCGAGCCGAGCGAGCCGAGAGCAGAGACGCTCAAAGTCCCTTTACCACCGTTGAAACAAAAGGGGTTGATACAACCACCATTGTTTACTCCTAAGTTTCATCATCCGAATTGGGTCCTTGCCGTTCTTTTAAAGGGGGTTGATGGAACCCTAGGGAAGTGCGGGTCAATGTTTGGTACTATCCTATATCTTGCCTTTGCATCTGGTCAGCGTCACATGCCCAAAGGTGGCACTGCCCATTCTGAAGTCGCCAAAGCGCTATTCCAGTTCAGTGGATTCCTCACTTATCCATTTGTGGGGGTTGCCCCACTAAAAATGGTAACCCCCTGAAAAGGTCCAAGTCTTTCGGTAGGCTTATGGGACAAGGCGCCAAGTGAAATGCTGGTGGCGAACTGATCGTAGGGGTCCCTATGCTTCCCTCTGCTCGTTTAAACATCACCTTTTGGGCCTCTAAATGAGCCTTCTCTTGGTGGGGGGCGATGTTTAAGCGGGACATATACTCACTTCCTGAGTTCATGGAGCTTTAAGGGTTGGGTTTGGACCATTTTAGTGGCAAACAATCAGTTTGCTTTCATTTTTGGCCCATCAGCTCAGAACGTGAGTATAATAAGGAGCTCTGTATACCAAACACCTAGCGTCGTAAGCCCATACTTGGCCAGATCCAGTGCTGACTGATTCTTCGGCAACCGGAATCCTTTTTAGAATCAGTCTTGTGACCCCCCGCAGATCGGCCGGTCTCTCAAAAGCCAGGATTTGGCCTTGCTCTCTCTCTGTGTGTGTGTTCATTTTCGACCAGCTCCGGGGTCTTTTAGCCCTTTTCCATGCTCAGGGAATGAGAAATGGAATGACACGTGGAAAAACCATCCCTTGCTGGTGGTTTCCTTTATTCTGGGATCAAAGAATCCCTGGGTTCATTCCATTTCGCATTCCTTACTTCTCGCAGCAAGGTGAGTTGCGCGGGTGACCCGCAAACTGCTGCAAGCTTATTCCTCGCAACTTGCTGGCGATCTTTCTGTGGCGGTCCATCACGTGGATCGATCTGGTTCTAGAGGCGATGAAGCAACTGAACACCTTCTTGTTCTTACCTCTTAAAAACACAACTTTTGAACTTTTTGGGTAACATGGGCTATATGTCTGTAAAAGATTAGCTTCCCCAGGGCTTGGAGTTTTAAGGGGTAAGAACACCTAAGTGTTTGTTGTTTGTTTGAAGGAAAGCCAAAGGAAAACCACCAATTTTGGGGTCCCCGAGAAAAACAAATGAGGACACCCAGACGACTTTTGGTTGCGCAGCACCGCTTGCTTTCACCCACTCGCCAACCAAGAACAATTCACCAGTTTTTTTTGAGAGGTCCAAACGCCACCTTTTTCGCCGCCTTTTTCGGGGTCTGCAAAATTACTTGTTTCAGAGTGGGCGAAAAAGGACGCAGAATCTGAACCTTGGTTCTTTCCTGGTTAAAGGCTCGCAGGAAGCCGACCAGTTTGCAGTTGCGAAACCCCTATGAGACAGCCCCATATGAGTGTGTCCAATTGGCAAAGGGAATCGGACACCCGAAATGGCTTCTGTTTTCCTTTTGGCTTTGCTTTACAGCCAAACACAAACTGGGTACCTTAAAAACAAGATCCACCCATAGAATAATATATATATATACATTTATATATGGAGTATATAGATATATGCATCTCTGATTTTCTGGTTGGTGCTCTTCTGGTTGATCCAATCCCCGTGGCCAGGAGGAGACTGCGGAGGCCTTGCGGTGCTTCCTCTGCAATCTGCAGGCGCCGCCGGATCCGCGGTTCGGAAAGCCGCGGGGCAAACCGTTGCCTCTTTCGCCACGCGGGGGACGTCGGCCTGTTGGACTTGAAAAGAAGCAGCGCATACTGTGGATGGACGAAACTGCACCACTTTGAAGCCATGGTTGCAACCATTTGTTTGTTGGTCTTGACAGGGGAATCACCAGAAACCAGGGCTTCTTAGGTGGTGCGAATTGGATTTCACAACCACCCACAGTAGGATCCGACTCCACACCCCCTCGTTTTCTCCAAAGAAGGCCACAAGGCGTTCTTTGGTCGATCCCTGACACACACGCCCGTCACTTCTGAATCCGGGGTGGGATTCCTTGCTGCGCTGGAAAAAATGATCGGGTTGCTCCGAGCCTTTGAGGATTCACTCGTCAGGATCTAGACGTGCTTCTGCCCTTTGGGGAGTTCGGAGTAGCATTCAGCTGGGAGGTTGATTTCTCAGAGGCCCAGGTTTCCTATTCTTGTCACGGGCCCACACGAAGAGTGACAACTGAGGCTTAAGGCTGGGGCCAAATTGGATCCTTTTGGGGGCCTTTGTTGGGGGGTGGGGGTCCCGAACAACTGATGGGAACAGTACAAGGTGTGCCTTCTGCCCTCCATTTCCCATCTGAGACTTATGTTGGAGCCTTTCGGCTCAGAGCACCATGTCAAGATAACACCAACCGACCGCAGGTTGTAGGTCTTGGCTTCATTTACCAGGGTTCCTGTTGGGGTACTTGTTCGTGACCCACACGCATGTTAACTTTCCACATGTTATGTTCTGCATCTCTTCTGCACTTGACAGATACGACTCACTCATCCACTTTTTCTTCCACAGTCCCTCTCTTCGTTCGGAACGTTCCATCGTGAGTCTTTTGTAGTGACAGGACTTCAGACGCAATAATGGAATAAGAGAGCTTGAACGACTATGACTAGCAACAGCCTGTTGTTCATCGGTTCTGTGACCTCCGGAAACAACCAGAAACTAAAATATGGCAGTCCTTTTTGAGTAGTGTTTTAGTAGTCATTGAATATTCGACAGGGGTTAATTAGTCCACAAATTCGCAAAATCCAAACCGTGATCTAGAGCTGCCTAAAACCCAACAACAGAATCCCCTCAAGAGAAGATTCCTCATTTTTCAGGCTTTGTTGGGTTCCAAATATGTCAACCAGCAATTTTGTTTTTGGGGTTCCATATGTCAATCAGCATATGTCCATTTGTTTCTCGGTTTTTGTACACACTTTGTTTGAATACATAGATATATATATATATATATATATATGCACCCCCCCCCTCCCCCCCCCCAAAAAAAAAAACACCGGGGGGTACCATATATATATATATGTATTATTGCTCTCTTTTATTTTTTTGGGATGTATATATTTATAAATATTATTGCACATGTGTCTGTATATATATATATATATGTATGTATATATATATATATATACATATATATGTATGTATATATATATATATATATTACTTTCTTTTGTGTTTTTGGTTTGGGGGGGGCGTGGGGTGTTTTTTTCCAACTCGCCACTCGCGTCTTCGCCTTGCGCGCAGGTCTGGGGCTCCCTGGCGCAACGCGCGGGGGACCACGGTTCGGACGCCGCGGCTTGAGCGAAGCGCCCCGGGTTGGGGCCACGGTGTGGGCCCGTTTTTTTTTGGGGGGGACCCCAACATGCCGTTTCTTTTGCTTTTCTGTTTTTTTTTGGTTTGATCCCTCCAAGTGGCCCAGGGCTCCTTAAAAGATCTCCATTTTGCAACCAGTTGAAACGTGTTGCTTTTTCCACCAAAATAAAGTTGGAACCCACCATTTACAAGGCAATGTTCAGGTGTATAATGTAAGGATCCCGGTTTGTTTTTTAGGGGACCCCAACAAGTTTCTTTCTTTCTTTCTTTTTTGGGGGGGAGCAGGGTGATCCAACAAAATCGCTGGGTTTGGGTTTCTTTGTCTCACACTGGCAATTGGAGTTTTCGAAACATGGGTGGTTTCCTTTTGGTTTCCTGTTAAAACCAACCAAACAGGGGTACCAACTCCAAAAATGCCACCGCATCTTAAGAACACTTTGCGCCTTTCAGGGGCAGACTCCTCTTGTGGGTTTCATATGTTTTCGTATACGGATCATGCCCCACGTTCGCATGCTGGCCGATTGGTTCTTGCGCTTCGGGGGCGGGGGGGGCTTGATGCAGCCGGTTTCCACAAGGGGTGGCCACACGCCGAGAGTTCCAGTTCAATGGTGTAGACTAGGTCCAGCTGGGCTCCCTTTTTAAACCCTTTTTTGGGGGAGATTCGGTTCTCCTACTGAAATAGACTATAGAAACAAGTTGGTAGCCTTGTTCTAACCTCTCTACTGGACCTAGTAGATCTGTTTTTCTTCTTCAGATCCATGATTACCCTCACTTGGTAGATTGGATTGGAACCGCTGGCTCTTGAGGGCCACAACTTTCAAACCTCCAATCCAAGCCACCAAACTGTTCATCCCGATGCTCACCCATTCTGAAGGCCCGGTACTATCCGGCATCCCAGAAGGGAACCCCCCTTTGTTGACTAAGTGCTCCCCTCGCCTGTGGTTTGAGCTGGTGGGGACACCCTCCAATCTGTAATTTCATCCGAGACCCCACTTGCTCCAAATTTTCCGGTTTGTGAATTATAGTTTGCCCAGAACTATGTAGGTTGTTTAGCCACAACTCTCAGGGAGCAACCTCCCTTGGGTAGGTGTATGTCAGTCCCCAAGCCAAGGGCGGAACCCGACCCCAATTTTCCCCTGCCTCTTGGGGAGACTGGTTTTGTGCGGGGGGCTCGTTCGTGTCTGTATGGATGCCTGTGTTTGGTCATTGTTTTTGCGGGGGGAAGAGGTGGTTGGAACAACCATTGCAACGGGTGATTTCCTCAACCCAAACCACAGGTACCGGTTCACCTCCAAGAATGGCTCACCCCCCTCCCCAAGAAGGCGCCAGCCAGCCTTTCCATTTCTGGCGGAACCAAATCGGAACCCGTGCCGATTGGGCCGGTTTCGACACGCACGTCCACTTGGATCTCTTTTTTTTGGTTTGATCCCTCCAAGTGGCCCAAGGCTCCTTAAAAGATCTCCATTTTGCAACCGTTTGAAACATGGCCTTTTTTCCACCAAAATAAAGTTGGAAACCACCATTTACAAGGCAATGTTCAGGTGTATAATGTAAGGATCCCTGTGGCCGCTCCGAGCAAAATGGAAAATCCAACCAAAGTTGCACCCAATGGTATATGGAAGCATAACACACTACGCTTTGCCCCAGCTGATTGTAATTCTAGCACCCAAATGAGCCATAATCAAAACCCGGGTAGATGAAGGCTAGTAAGGAATACTCCCAACCATAAATAGCTGCGGATATCCGCCTTCTTAATTCTTGAACCATGGTTCTGGGATTACGACCATTTTAATACAGGGTTTTGATTATGAGTCATTTGGTTTTCTTGGAATGTTGGATGAAGAGGGGAATGAGCGAGTTCACCAGCGGTTTTTCCTAAGGTCGAAGACCGGGGCCACTCAAATGAAGGTCTGCAATGAGTTGGAAGTCCAGGCAGACCACCATGGCAATCTTCTAAGATGCTGCGCGCGGGGAAGCGGTGTATTCCACCTCACAAGGGGGGAGATTGACGTGGCCATGGGTCAAAAGCCAAAAAGCCCGCACCCCCAGTGAACATCCGATTCAATCCAACCACTAAAATAGGTCCTAAAATGGGTGGTGAGTTCACCTACCAACCAAAATGGTACCAAAACAGTTTTGACCCACACGTGCTTACCCGGTGTTTTGGGACCTAAGTGACAGTTTCAGTGGCCTCTTGGTACCAGATTCTCAACGGACCTCCAAGATTTGGATGCCGCAGATTGACATGAGCTTGGCACTTCCCAGCTGTCCCACGTAGGTTTCACGGTTTACTTCAGGCCTCCATGCAACACACTAACAGGCAAACTTTAGCAGGGATCTGGGAGCGGCCCAGGGCAAAGTATTTGGCGAAATGGCCCTAGTGGGAAGCCCCGAAGACAGCTTGAATGAAATTCTAGGGGTTGATTCCTTTTCCATTCTTTCCAACCATCGTTCTTTTCGAGAACCGGATCCGTTTTCCCTGGGTGTCCGGAGGCTTTCTAGAAAGACTGGGATGCCTGGAACGAATGAAATGGAAGGTACCCCTAGAGAAACGAATCCGCCGAGGGCGCTGCGGGGGAATTCACTCCGTCCCGCGCGGTGGATGAAGACATCGCTCCGGCCTTGGTTGGATGCAGCTCAGACCTCCAATGGGGTTTCCCACGGTTTTTTCGTCGTTTTGGTGGCAGGTGTTTTGCATTTGTTTGAGGGACGTCCATTTGAGCCTTTTTTGCCGGGGGTTTCTTGTAGGGATTTCCAAGTTTGTTCATTTTGGTTGCAAAGGTTTCCCTTCTTCCATTTTTTTTTCCGAGGCTTGTATTCTTTGCATTTGTTTGGAGGGGTCTTTCCAATCTTGTTGTTCCATTTTGTTGCAGGCGTCGTGCGTTTCTATCTATTTTTTTTAGAAAGGATTTCCCTCTGGCCTGTGCTATGCCCTCGTGATCATGCGGAAGTTCAGGTCATTGAAATGGAGCACTCGCGAGGTTCTCCTCACCTTCGCTTTGGTTTTCGTTTGGAGCGCAGGTGCCCAAAGCGGAAGGGGAGGGATGGATGTTTCAGGGGAAGGAAACCGGGCGCCCAAAGGACACCGGGCTGGGTTCAAAGGGGAGCCCAAAAGGAAACAAAGAGCCAGGCGCCGGTGCTTTTTGGGAGGGGGGGGGTCCAAAGAGGCCACCCACTCTGATTCGGCTTCGTCGCCAACTTTTTCGGCTTCGTCAAGGTCGAAGGGTGTTGCTTGCCTTCACTGTTCTTGGCATGTGTTTTTTAGCTCTTTTGCTTTTTGGCTCTGTTCATTTTTACTGGGGGGGTCTGCCAAAAAACCCGTACCATGCGACCCAGTTCTTTGGTCCCAAAGACCACGAAAGAATCATCCTGAATTCAGCTTAATGTCCACAGGGGATTAGTAAACGGGGTCCCCCTCTCCCCCCCCCTTAATAAGATGGGGGCACCTGGAGTACTATCTTGAGATCCAGTTCAAGTGAGTTTCCACTTGAGTTAGTATTGTAGACTTGACTTTCCATTTGATTTCGTATTGCTGAGCTTTTTTTTTTGGATTTGGAACTGGGTTTCAATTTGATTTAGTATTGCTGGATGTTCCTTTTGAATTTGGAATTCAGTTTCAATTTGATTCAGTATTGCTGGAGGTTGCGTTTGACATTTGGAATTGAGTTTCAATTTGATTTAGTATTGCTTGAGGTTGCTTTGGGCATTTGGAATTCAGTTCCAACTTGATGATTTAGTATAGCTGGAGCTTCCTTTTGACATTTGTAATTGAGTTTCAATTTTATTTAGTATAGCTGGAGCTTCCTTTTGACATTTGTAATTGAGTTTCAATTTTATTTAGTATAGCTGGAGCTTCCTTTTGACATTTGTAGTTGAGTTTCAATTTTATTTAGTATAGCTGGAGCTTCCTTTTGACATTTGTAATTGAGTTTCAATTTTATTTAGTATAGCTGGAGCTTCCTTTTGACATTTGTAATTGAGTTTCAATTTTATTTAGTATAGCTGGAGCTTCCTTTTGAAATTTGTAATTGAGTTTCAATTTTATTTAGTATAGCTGGAGCTTCCTTTTGACATTTGTAATTGAGTTTCAATTTTATTTAGTATAGCTGGAGCTTCCTTTTGACATTTGTAATTGAGTTTCATTTTATTTAGTATAGCTGGAGCTTCCTTTTGACATTTGTAATTGAGTTTCAATTTTATTTAGTATAGCTGGAGCTTCCTTTTGACATTTGTAATTGAGTTTCTTGAGTTTCAATTGTATTTAGTATAGCTGGAGCTTCCTTTTGACATTTGTAATTGAGTTTCAATTTTATTTAGTATAGCTGGAGTTTGACATTTGTAGTTGAGTTTCACTTTTATTTAGTATAGCTGGAGCTTCCTTTTGACATTTGGAGTAATTGAGTTTCAATTTTATTTAGTATAGCTGGAGCTTCCTTTTGAAATTTGTAATTGAGTTTCAATTTTATTTAGTATAGCTGGAGCTTCCTTTTGACATTTGTAATTGAGTTTCAATTTTATTTAGTATAGTTGGAGCTTCCTTTTGACATTTGTAATTGAGTTTCAATTCTATTTAGTATAGCTGGAGCTTCCTTTTGACATTTGTAATTGAGTTTCAATTTTATTTAGTATAGCTGGAGCTTCCTTTTGACATTTGTAATTGAGTTTCAATTTTAGTTAGTATAGCTGGAGCTTCCTTTTGACATTTGTAATTGAGTTTCAATTTTATTTAGTATAGCTGGAGCTTCCTTTTGACATTTGTAATTGAGTTTCAATTTTATTTAGTATAGCTGGAGCTTCCTTTTGAAATTTGTAATTGAGTTTCAATTTTATTTAGTATAGCTGGAGCTTCCTTTTGACATTTGTAATTGAGTTTCAATTTTATTTAGTATAGCTGGAGCTTCCTTTTGACATTTGTAATTGAGTTTCAATTTTATTTAGTATAGCTGGAGCTTCCTTTTGACATTTGTAATTGAGTTTCAATTTTATTTAGTATAGCTGGAGCTTTCTTTTGAAATTTGTAATTGAGTTTCAATTTTAGTTAGTATAGCTGGAGCTTCCTTTTGAAATTTGTATTTGAGATTCAATTTCCTTTAGTATAGCTGGAGCTTCCTTTTGACATTTGTAATTGAGTTTCAATTTTATTTAGTATAGCTGGAGCTTCCTTTTGACATTTGTAATTGAGTTTCAATTTTATTTAGTATAGCTGGAGCTTCCTTTTGACATTGTATTGGTTTCAATTTTATTTAGTATAGCTGGAGCTTCCTTTTGACATTTGTAATTGAGTTTCAATTTTATTTAGTATAGCTGGAGCTTCCTTTTGACATTTGTAATTGAGTTTCAATTTTATTTAGTATAGCTGGAGCTTCCTTTTGACATTTGTAATTGAGTTTCAATTTTATTTAGTATAGCTGGAGCTTCCTTTTGAAATTTGTAATTGAGTTTCAATTTTATTTAGTATAGCTGGAGCTTCCTTTTGACATTTGTAATTGAGTTTCAATTTTATTTAGTATAGCTGGAGCTTCCTTTTGACATTTGTAATTGAGTTTCAATTTTATTTAGTATAGCTGGAGCTTCCTTTTGAAATTTGTAATTGAGTTTCAATTTTATTTAGTATAGCTGGAGCTTCCTTTTGACATTTGTAATTGAGTTTCAATTTTATTTAGTATAGCTGGAGCTTCCTTTTGACATTTGTAATTGAGTTTCAATTTTATTTAGTATAGCTGGAGCTTCCTTTTGACATTTGTAATTGAGTTTCAATTTTATTTAGTATAGCTGGAGCTTCCTTTTGACATTTGTAATTGAGTTTCAATTTTATTTAGTATAGCTGGAGCTTCCTTTTGACATTTGTAATTGAGTTTCAATTTTATTTAGTATAGCTGGAGCTTCCTTTTGACATTTGTAATTGAGTTTCAAGTATTTATTTAGTATAGCTGGAGTTTCCTTTTGACATTTGTAATTGAGTTTCAATTTTATTTAGTATAGCTGGAGCTTCCTTTTGACATTTGTAATTGAGTTTCAATTTTATTTAGTATAGGAGCTTCCTTTTGACATTTGTAATTGAGTTCATAGCTTGGGCTTCCATTGATTTTATTTAGTATGGTGAGTTTCAATTTTATTAGTAGCTGGAGCTTCCTTTGACATTTGTAATTGAGTTTCAATTTTATTTAGTATAGCTGGAGCTTCCTTTTGAAATTTGTAATTGAGTTTCAATTTTATTTAGTATAGCTGGAGCTTCCTTTTGACATTTGTAATTGAGTTTCAATTTTATTTAGTATAGCTGGAGCTTCCTTTTGACATTTGTAATTGAGTTTCAATTTTATTTAGTATAGCTGGAGCTTCCTTTTGACATTTGTAATTGAGTTTCAATTTTATTTAGTATAGCTGAGCTTCCTTTTGACATTTGTAGTTGAGTTTCAATTTTATTTAGTATAGCTGGAGCTTCCTTTTGACATTTGTAATTGAGTTTCAATTTTATTTAGTATAGCTGGAGCTTCCTTTGACATTTGTAATTGAGTTTCAATTTTATTTAGTATAGCTGGAGCTTCCTTTTGAAATTTGTAATTGAGTTTCAATTTTATTTAGTATAGCTGGAGCTTCCTTTTGACATTTGTAATTGAGTTTCAATTTTATTTAGTATAGCCGGAGCTTCCTTTTGACATTTGTAATTGAGTTTCAATTTTATTTAGTATAGCTGGAGCTTCCTTTTGACATTTGTAATTGAGTTGCAATTTTCTTTAGTATAGCTGGAGCGTCCTTTTGAAGTTTGTAATTGAGTTTCAATTTTATTTAGTATAGCTGGAGCTTCCTTTTGAAATTTGTAATTGAGTTTCAATTTTATTTAGTATAGCCGGAGCTTCCTTTTGACATTTGTAATTGAGTTTCAATTTTATTTAGTATAGCTGGAGCTTCCTTTTGACATTTGTAATTGAGTTTCAATTTTATTTAGTATAGCTGGAGCTTCCTTTTGACATTTGTAATCGAGTTTCAATTTTACTTAGTATAGCTGGAGCTTCCTTTTGAAATTTGTAATTGAGTTTCAATTTTATTTAGTATAGCTGGAGCTTCCTTTTGACATTTGTAATTGAGTTTCAATTTTATTTAGTATAGCTGGAGCTTCCTTTTGAAATTTGTAATTGAGTTTCAATTTCATTTAGTATAGCTGGAGCTTCCTTTTGACATTTGTAATTGAGTTTCAATTTTATTTAGTATAGCTGGAGCTTCCTTTTGAAATTTGTAATTGAGTTTCAATTTATTTAGTATAGCTGGAGCTTCCTTTTGACATTTGTACTTGAGTTTCAATTGTATTTAGTATAGCTGGAGCTTCCTTTTGAAATTTGTAATTGAGTTTCAACTTTATTTAGTATAGCTGGAGCTTCCTTTTGACATTTGTATTTGAGTTTCAATTCTATTTAGTATGGCTGGAGCTTCCTTTTGACATTTGTAGTTGAGTTTCAATTTTATTTAGTATAGCTGGAGCTTCCTTTTGAAATTTGTACTTGAGTTTCAATTTTATTTAGTATAGCTGGAGCTTCCTTTTGAAATTTGTAATTGAGTTTCAATTATATTCAGTATAGCTGGAACTTCCTTTTGGCATTTGTAATTGAGTTTCAATT